GTTCTTTCTTTTCATTCTTTCTCTGTTCTCCTCAGTCTAAGTTGATGGATTTTCTGCTACAGTAGTTGGTTAGATCCATCAATCACTGCCCTAACCTCTTTGACAAAATATTGGGTAGCCACATACTTGGTGAACATTCTAGAACATGTGTCCTTAGTTTGTACAAGAGATTTTTCCAAATACTTATGGTCTGTTTTCATTTTGCACAGCTCAATTTTAAGTCCATCTCTTTCCTCTCGTATTTTGGGATAAGAGGCAAGGTGAAACTACATGGCCCCTTTAAGATATTCCTTAGAAATCTCCACAGACAGAAATCCAAGTTCTATCACTATAAGTTTGATCTTTTACCAAATATTTGAACCTACTTTAAACAACTCCTTTGCCAGCACATAAAAAGCATCGCCCTTGCTCCATTGTCTAATCACATGTTCATCATTTTATGTAAAAGTCTCATCCAAAGCACATTTAATATCCACATTTCTAGCAACATTCTGTTGCTGGTGCTGTATGTATGCTCTAAAATGATTGAGATTTTCTCTATACCTCTTCTCACTTCCTTCTGAGCCCTCACCAGATTGCCTTTGACATCGATAATTCTACTAACAGTGTCTTCAATGCAATCTAAACTTTTACTATTCCAACCAAAAACCAAAGTCACTGCCATCAAGTCGGATTTAACTCATAGCAACTCCTCCTTGGGTTTCCAAGGCGATATCACTACAGAAATAGATTGCCCCATCTTCCTTCTGAGGAGTGGTTTGAACCACCAGGCTTCTAGTTAGCAGTCAAATGCCTTAGGCACTACACTACCAGAGATCCTTGAAAATCTTTCAGTCTCTACCCATTACTCAATTCCAAAAACACTCCCACAGCTTAGGTAACTGTTAAGGGCAGCATCCCACTCTTCCAGTACCAAATTCTGTCAGTTATCTAGTGCTGCTATAATAGAAATGCCATAAATGGATACTTGAACAAACAGAAATTTAGAAGTTCAAATACAGAGCACCAACTCTAGAGGAAAGCTTTCTCTGTGTCAGCTATGAAGGAAGGGCCTTTTCTCTCTTTTCTCTTCAGCTTCTGCTAGGTTCCTTGGATATTTCCATGTATCTTTACACCTATCTTATCTTATCCCATTTCTCCTCTGCTCTCCTGTCTAGTATCTTTTACATCTCAAAAGACATTGACTCAAGATACACTACACTAATTCTGCCTCATAATTTCCAAATGGGATTATAACCACAGGCATAGAAGTTAGGGTTTACAACATATATTTTGGGGGGACATAATTCAATCCATAACAACAGTGTATCTGTGATATTCATGGGCATCTATGCTGGAAAGTTTGGCCATTCACAAGTAAGATTCCCTCCTCTGCTCTAAAATTGGGACACAGGTATTTGGCTCCATTTCCAAGGCCTCAATTACTATATACAAGTAACTGAGGGCTTCTAAATTTCCCATCAGGTTGTTCCAGAGCTATAGACTTGCCTATTTATGGGCCTACTGGAACTCTGGTTATCCAATAGATGTCTAAACACAATATAATTTTTAAACCCATGCATGCGAAGCATCAACACAGAAACATTCTGTATGCTATGGTACTTCTTTTTTATTTATTAAGTATTAATGTAAACATCCACTCCTCGGAAGGAAGGTTGGGCAATCCTACTTCCGTAGTGATAACTGCCTTGGAAACCCAAGGAGGGGTCCCTAGGAGTAGGGGCCAGACTCGATGGCAAATAACAACAACAACAACAATGTAAACATGCATACCACAAGACTGGTATGTAGGAGGAAACTTGTTAGTGAGAAGCCCAACTGAGCACCCAGGAGTCATAGCTCAACAAACTTGTTTCTTTTTTCTTGTTGTATCAGTATTTGTGTTTTTTTTTTTTTTTTTTTTGACTGCAATCCACAGCAGTATCTACCATTTATATCACTACCATGTATACACTTATACATATAAATAAAACACAAAAGCACTTATTCTGTATGAGATGTGCTTTTATTCTACTCTCCTCTTTCCCTTCTTTAATGTTGTCTATAACCTCTAAGCAGATTTCATTAACTCACTAATGGGTTATGACCCAGATGTGAATAAGACAGGCTCAGTGTTTTTTAAGGAGCTCTGGTAGTATAGTGCCGAAGGCACTTCACTGCTCACCAGAAGGCTGGCGGCTCAAACCCACCAGCCACTCCTCGGAAGGAAGGTAGGGCAATCCTACTTCCGTAGTGATACTGCCTCGGAAACCCAAGAAGGAGTTGCTATGAGTCGGGGCCGACTCGACGGCAAACAACAACAACATATGTATATATAAGCTGTACTGGTTTTGCTTCTCTAGAGAACCCAACTTTACACAAGTGCTAAGGGACACTGTCTGATAATTGTTCACTTGACAATGAATTGTTTACTTCACTCACTAAAGCAAAGTGCTCAGTAAAATTCTGCTATTTTGAGGTGGGGAAAGCTTTATTTCAAGAGCAATCAGGAGATAAAAATCATTTTCACTCATCTTGTTGCCAAAAAAAAAAAAAAAAAGTAATAATACCTAATGCTAATAGAAAAGGGTGCATTCTCATATATCAGTGATGGAATGTGAATTGCTATAGACTTTTTGGAAAGCTGTATGGCAGTATCTATTAACATTTAAGATGTATCTATTCTTTGCAGCAACAATCTCACAACTGGAAATCTCTTAGAAATAAAGCATCAGTACCAAAGAACTACAAACGAATGTTTACTTCAGCCCTTGATTATTGGCAAGATAGCAGAAACAAAGCAAGTGCCTATCAATTATTAATTATTTTTACATACTCATACAGTAAAATATTACACAGCAGCTACAAAAAATGTTTTAGACTCCTACTTACAAGTGAGTCAGAATTGACTCAACAGCAACAAACAACAGGTGACTTGCTTTAAGATCACTTGCTCTGTGTGTAACTGTATCTATAAATCGATAGAATTTATATCTAGTCAGATAAGACAGTCTAGGAGTTTCTACTATATACCTACCATAAATGAAAAAATCAAAGTAAAAAGGGATCCAATATGGTCCCATTTTTTAAAAAAAGTATGTATATGCACATATGTTTATATATGATTATGAGAACATGGTGAATGATATAGAAGGATGCATATTACATTGGGGGTGGGGAGAAGGGAGGGAAAAGTAGACAACTCCCCCTCACCCCCCCCACACATACACATTAAGCATGCATGCTATAGTACATTTCATAAATAGTTTTGTGTATTCAATGGAGATATACAAAGAGATGCATGAAAAAAATAATCAGACTTCCAGGATATTTACCAATTAAGAACTGTGTAAGTAAAAAATCTTGAACTGACAAATATTGTGTCATTTGCATTTTTACAATAAAAAAAAAACATTAATCACAAAAAAAAAGAAAAATGAATTAATGATAGGTAGATGAATGAATAGATTGGTTGACTTAGGTTAAATGTTTTCTTTAAAGGATAGGAAAAGATAGTATTCTTTTTTCAATATAATTTTTCAGAGTTTAGTACTTATTAGACTTCTCCACAATATTTAATACTGTTTTATCATTCTCCTTCCTAGAAGCACTCTTCTCGTTTTTAATGATACCGCACTGGTTTTCCACCAATTTCTCTTTCAGCTCATTCTCAATTTCTCAGAGGTTCTTCTTCCTTGTCCAGTGTCCTGTTTTGCCTCCAGGGTCATGTCCCTCTTCCTACTCCTTATCAGTACACCTTCCCTATCAAAATCCACTGCTGTGAGTCAATTTTGACTTATAGCAACCATACAGGACAGAGTTGAACTGCCCCATAGGATATCCTAGGCTGTAAATCTTTATGGAAGCAGACAGCCACATCTTTCTCCTGCAGAGCGGTTGGTACGTTAGAACTGCTGATCTTCTGGTTAGCAGCCCAGCGCTTTAACTACTGCACCACCAGGGTTCTATTTCCAAATTCTCAATTACTATTTAACAACCCGCCCAACCCACTGCTATCGGGTTGATTTCAACTCACAGCGACCCTTTAGGACAAGGAAACAAATAGCTTCTAAATCTATGGTTTTCTTCCTGAGCTATAGATTTGCCTGTGTACAGTCCTACTGGAAATCCGAATATTCCGCAAATGTCTAAACACAATATATCCCAAACTGCACTCATTTCTTCCGTTTCAAATCTTGTTCACCCTTCTGAGTGCCCGTAGCAGAGAACAGCATTATCCAACCAGCTGTGAAACTTGAAACGTGACTTCCTATGCCCTCCGGATCAGTGAAATGTACGAGTTCTGGCCTCCTTCTCTCCAAAGTTTTGGGAAACTGAATAAAACAGAAACTGCACAGATACATACAAAAAAAAAAAAAAAAATTCACCGCCATTGAGTCGATTCCGACTCATAGCGACCCCCACTGGGTTTCCAAGAGGGAAAATCTTTACGGAAGTAGATTGCCCAGTCGTCCTTCCTCGGAGTGGCTGATAAGTTTGAACCGCCAACCTTCTGATTAGCAAATGCCTTAGGCACTACAACACCGTACAATGCCCTTCAAAAATCACTCTCCTCCCCAATGACTTTCTCCATCCTGTCTTCTCCAAGGCAGATGCTTAGTTCTCACCCACATCCTCTGGGGCGGCCCTCCCGCAGACACCTAGCGGCACTTCCCCTCCCCTCTGTTCCACTGTCCACACACAGAAAGTCTAGGGTTCAACACTACGTTTAGATACGGAATCACTTTAGCTGGGACGCAAAGTAAAAAAAAGGGGGACACACTCCGATTCCATCTACAGATAAACTCCCCCTACCTACAGCACGCAAATACCCATCCACTCCCCAACCCAGGATCTACTAAATACATAAGATCCAAGGATCCCTGTCTAAGGACAAGCGAAAAGGTAATAGGAAGGTGGCCGGCGCCTGGGGGGCGTAGTCCTCCCTTTCCTCCAAGTCCTCTCTAGCTCCAAATCCTCGCGCAACACGAACCACTGCTTCCAGTTCTTGAAGGTCTTACCTGGGATATGGTAGTTTTCTGCAACTCAGAAGCCGCTGCTTTCCAGATGCCTTGCCTCTGGGCAAGAGTAACCCTACCTCCCAGAAAGAATCGGTAGGAAAATGCAGTACCGCAGAACACACAGGGAGCCGCCATGTTGGCTGAGGGAGACACCAGTCTGGGAGGGGCAAGAGGCGTAACCTGAGGAATGCGCAGGCGCCAAATCTCCCTATTCTTGAGGCTGTCGGAAGCAAAAGCTTCCTGAACATTTTAAACAGGGGATAAGTGTGCGCCCGAGGCGGCTCGTCGCTGATTGGGTGTGTGGAGGGTCGGCCCTTGGGGCGTGCCCGAGTACACCTTTTGACTGGGATTGGTTCTAGACCAGAGACTTGTTGTTGTTGTTGTTGTTATGTGCCGTCGAGTCAGCCCTGACTCATAGCGACCCCTCCTTGGGTTTCCGAGGCAGTATCACTACGGAAGTAGGATTGCCCAACCTTCCTTCCGGGGAGTGGCTGGTGGGTTTGAACCACCAGCCTGCTGGTTAGCAGTCAAGTGCCTTACCCACTATGCTACCAGAGCTAAGCAGTAATTGATGGTTTATCTTACCGTTAGGTGCTGTCAAGTCATTCCGATTCATAACGACCCTGTACAACAGAATGAAATACTGCCCGGGTTCTGCGCTATCCTCACAATGATGCTATGTTTGAGGCTATTATTGCAGCCACTGTGTCAATCTATCTCGATGAGGGTCTTCTTCCTTATAACTGGCCCTCTGCTTTACCAAACATGATGTCCCTTTCCAGGGACTGGTCTTTCTTGATAACATGCCTGAACTACGCGAGACACAGTCTCTCCATCCTCACTTCTAAGGTGCATTCTGGCTGTACTTCCTCCAAAACAGATTTGTTCATTCTTGTTGTTGTTGTTACGTGCCATCTAGTCGGACCGACTCATAGCGACCCCTCCTTCGGTTTCTGAGACAGTATCACTACAGAAGTAGATTGCCCAACCTTCTTTTGAGGAGTGACTGGTGGTAGTCTATGGTATATTCAATATTCTTTGCCAACACCATAATTCAAAGGCATCAATTCTTTGATCTTCCTTATTCATTGTCCAGCTTTCACATGTATATGAGGTGCTTGAAAATACCATGGTTTGGGTCAAGTGTACCTTAGTTCTCAAAGTGACTACTTTTTAATATTTTAAAAAGGGCTTTTACGACAAGTTTACATTAACCTGTAGTTTTTGCACCTTTAGAATTTAGTCACTCTCTAAGTCTTTTTGGTACTGACTTTTGAGAAATGGTTTTACTCCTCCAGGAATCCAGATTTATGGGGTCCATGGAGGTGAAATTATCCACACAGTCCATTTACCCTTAGATATCCTGTTGAACCTTGAATCTTGAAGAAACTGGTCTCTTAAAAGTAACCTTTAAGTCAAACACTCTTCTTGCTAACTAGAAAGATCATTTTCCTTTAGACATTGTGCTCTTTTGAGGAATTTGGTGAATTTCAAGATATAGAAACTCCAGGGTCAGGCTGAAGCTATAATTTAGGGTAAATTGTTATTATAAAAATACTGTTCTGGTCCTGTTTCTATGGCAGTGTTGATGGGGTGGGACATAACAGTCTTTGGAGGCTTTTCCAGACCAGGTGTTCCCCAGTTCATGAACTGAAAAATAAAGCTAATGAGTTCATATACAAATTTAATATTGTGAAAATGTTATTTTTAACACTTCACATGGCTCTTTAGATGTCTTCCTTCTTACATCCATTGCTGCCCCAAAGAGAGGCTCTCCCTGAAACTTAGCCAGGTATTCAAAATCCTGTGCACCCACCCTCACCTTCTTCTCCAGTTTCACAATATTCAAACATGAACTTCCCTTTCCTATTAGGACCTCACACATGCTATAATCCACAAAGAAACTTTCAAGATCTATACTGAACTACAATGCTATCAGTGAAAGGATACTATCAATGCGCCTATAAGGAAGACCTTGGAGGGTCAGCGAAAAAGGGGAAGGCCCTCAACAAGATGGATTGGACAATGAATACATAAGCTTGAAAAAGAGTTGATGCTTTTGAATTGTGATGTTGTTGAGGAATACTAAAAATACCATGTACTGCCAGAATGAATGAACAAATCTGTCCTGGAAGAAGTGAAGCTGGAATGCTCCTTGGAAGCAAGAATGGCCAGACTTCATCTAACCTACTCTGATCACTGTGGTAGTTAAGGTTTTTTGTCAACTTGGCTGGGCCTGTTTTTGAGTGGCTGGGCAGCTGGATGTAGTGATTCCTCATGATGAGACTGGTGGTAATCAACTCCATGGTGGAATCTGCTGTGGGTAGCTGTACAGATGGGATCTGCTTCCAGTATAGAAGAAGAAGCTTTGAGGAAGGTCTTCAGCTTTTGGCACATCTGGATCCTGCATTTGGCCGAGTCCTCATCTCAATGGTCTGCCATATTGCCTGCCAATCTTGGGACTGCTAATGGACTTGGATTAGTGGCCTGCCATATAGCTTGATAATCTTGGGACTATGCCATTTTACTTGTCAACCTTTGGTTTGTTAACCTCAGCAGCCAGCAGCTACCTGAATTAAGAGATGCCTCCAGCTTCAGTGGGCAGAGGAGCAAGAGGGACAGCAGAAGCCCAAGGTTGAGGGACCTTAACCCAGCCTCTAGAGCAGGCATCTTGAACTCAGACTTCTAGCTTCCTAAACTGTAAGATAATAAATCTGTTTTTTAAAGCCATCCACTTGTGGTATTTTATGTTAGAGTGGCACTAGAGAACCAAAACAGTCATGCTATCAGAAGGGGCCATTCCCTGGAGAAGGATATTATACTTGGTAAAAGTGGAGGGTCAGTGAAAAAAGGGAAGACCCTCTGCAATACGGATTGACACAGTGTCTGGTATGTTGGGCTTAAGCATAGCAAGGATTGTGAGATGACACATGACTGGGCAGTGTTTTGTTCTGTTGTACATAGTGTCACTATGAGTAGGAGCTGGCTTGACGGCACCTGACAAGATCAACAACTGGCTCTATGAGTCCCTGTCTCCCTGCCTTGCTATGGTAATTTTTCCTCCTCCCTTCCTTCTTACATTTTTCAGGGTCCAGAACAACACTCTCTTATTCTAGCAACCGCTAACCCAAATCTGCCTTTCTATTTAGCTATGCTGGTGGCACTTATTTTCGTCAAGGCACTTACTTTTACATAGTTTAACTATATAATGTGCAAGTTAAATGGTAAATTAGTGAGGACAAAGAATAGCCTTCCTCCCCACGGCATTAGTACTAAAACCTACCTGAAAAACAATCACACTGAATAGTTGTTGAATAGAGATATCTTGCCTTCTGAGTCTTCTGTTTCTGACAGTAACTCTTGGGGTGTTTTCTATGAAATATCAACTAAATTATATATTAAACCAATTTAAAAAAAAAGTCTGTAAACATACAGGAAACCTGAGGTCATATAAAGTTGTCAGGCAAATATATGTCATCTACTATCACCAAAAATCAAAATGGAAGAACACAGTTGGCATTTCTCAAGCTAAAAGAACTAAAGGAAAAATTCAAGCCTCAAGTTGCAATATTGAAGGAGTCTATAGGCAAAATAGGGAGCTCTGGTGGCACAGTGCCTAAGGCATTTGACTGTTAACCAGAAGGCTGGCGGTTCAAACCCATCAGCCACTCCTCAAAAGGGAGACTGGGCAATCTACTTCCATAGAGATATCTCCTTGGAAACCCAAGGAGGAGTTGCTATGAGTAGGATTTGACTAGACAGACGTGAGAATAGGCAATCTATTAAATGATGCAGGATGTATCAAAAGAACATGGAAGGAATACACAGAGTCACTGTACCAAAATGAATTAGTCAACATTCAGCCATTCTAGGAAGTAGCATAAGATCAAGAACTGATGGTATTCAAGGAAGAAGTGGAAACTGCAATAAAGACAGTGGTGAAAAACAAGACCCCAGAAATTGATGGAATACCCGTTGAAATATTTCAACAAATGGATGCAGTGCTGGAGGCATTCACCCATTTATGTCAAGAAATTTGGAAGACAGCTACCTGGCTGACCAACTGCAAAATAGACATATTTATGCCCATTCCAAAGAAAGATGTTCCAACAGAATGAGGAAATTATCGAACAATATCCTTGTTTTCACATATGAGTAAAATTTTGCTGAAGATAAATGAAGACATTTGCAGCACTACATCAACAGGGAACTGTCAGAAATGCAAGCCAGTTTCAGAAGAGAATGTAGAATGAGAGCTATCACTGCTGATGTCTGATGGATTTTGACTAAGAGCAAAGAATACCAGAAAGTTTATCTGTGTTTTATTGACTATGCAAATGCATTCAGCTGTGTGCATCATAAGAAATTATGGATAAATTTTCAAAGAATGGGAATTCCAAAACATTTCATTGTACTCATGAGGAACCTGTACATAGACCAAGAGGCAATTGTTCAAAAAGAACAAGGAGATACTGCGTGGTTTAAAATGAGGAAAGGTGTGTATCAGGGTTGTATTCTTTCACCATACTTATTCAATCTATATGCTGAGAAAATAATCTGAGAAATTGCACTATATGAAGAAATACAGCATCAGGATTGCAGGAGGACTAACAACCTGTGATATGCAGGTGACACAACCTTGCATAATGAAAGTGAAGATGACTTGCAGGACTTACAGATGAAGATAAAAGACTACAGCTTTCAGTATGAATTACACCTCAACCTAAAGAAAACAAAACTTACAACTGGAACTATAAGAACATCATGATAAATGGAGAAATGATTGACGTTATCAAGGATTTCATTTTACTTGGACCCACAATCAATGTCCACGGAAACAGCAGTCAAGAAATCAAATGATGGGAGTTCCAGCAAGATGGCGGACGAGGCAGAAGGATTGCACAGACCCTCTTCAACAAAGAAAACGGAAACCAATTAACACAGACACAGAAGATAATGTTGGACCCCTGAGCCTTGAAGGGAAGGATACAGAATTGGACTAAACCCCAATTAGCAGAAGAATTTGTGTGAAAATACCAAAAAAAGGAGACATACGGAGCTGCGGTCTGACAGCGAACGGAGTGACCCTGACAGTACAGGCGGCTCGGAGATTCCCGACTGGTGGTAGGACCTAA